CTCCTGGAGCCAAGCAGAGTCATCGATGATGAACGTGAGCGCGCCGAGACAGATCTCGCGGCCCTCCATCGAAACTCTGCCGAAAACCATGATGATTCGGGTCGGAAAAAAGTCGCAACTTCTCCAACAAACGCTAAAACACCTGCCCCACGGTGGGCGCCAACTATCGTGGTTCTAAGTCTGACAGTAGTGTAGGGGGTAAGTATAGAGAGGCAAGATCTTAGCTGTGGAGAAGTTGTAAGCACGCAAGGTTTACGAGTTCAGGCCCTTCTCGGAGGAAGTAATAGCCCTACGTCTTGGAGCCCAGAGGCGGTCGACTGGATTATATGAATATGGGTTACAGAGGTGCGAACCCTTGTCTCGGAGGAGGGGGTGGCTTATATAGAGTGCGCCAGGACCCCGGCTAGCCCATGTTACAAAGGGTTCAATGTACATTAAGGCAGGGCGTTACCGGTAATGCTAGTAATAAAGTGCTATGATGACCATAAAAGCTACTTAATGACCGACCGTTAGCGTGCGGAGTGACTTCAGGTCTCCTGGACGTCGAGTGATTGGATCTTGGTCGAGTGATTGCTTCTTGGTCGAGCGTCTTCGAGCCTGTCGAGTGGAACACCTCCAAGTCGATTGAAAGGTGGTTTCTTCTAGAGATGTCCTTGGGTAGGGCAGTTAGGACAGGTCCATGATCCTACCCTAGGTACATAGCTTCATCAAATGCAACCGACGTACAGATTACAATGGGAGGATTATCTCTTTAATTAACCTATTAATTTTAATCCTAATAAGCATCAGTCAGCCGAAGCTGGTTACTACTAATCGGTTTAGCCGAAACCAATTAGTAGTAATCAGCTTCGCCGAAACCGATTAGTTCAAATCGGCTTAGGCAAACTCGACAGCTGCATGAGACCAAAATTTTCAAGCAACGGCTGCATGGAACCATATTTTCGACCGTAATTTTATCCCGCCACCCTTTCCCTAGTTAGCCGCAATTTCCCGCAACCTTTCCCTCCATATGTTCCGGCATTATCCTTCCTGCCAACCCTTTGTCGTCATTCTTTCCCGCCAACCCTTTCCCTCCATTCTCTGTGAACATCACCTTCCCGAGAAGTGATACTCCAACGTATCTACTTTCCCAAACACTTTTGCCATTGTTTTGGCCCCTAATTTGCATGATTTGAATTGAACTAATCCGGACTAACGTTGTTTTCAGCAGAATTGCGATGATGTTGTTTTTGTGCAGAAATAAAAATTCTCAGAATTGGACGAAACTTTCGGGAGAATTTTTATATAATATATAAAAATACTGGAGCGAAGAACCACCGGAGAGGGGCCACCCTGGGTCCACAAGACACCAGGGCGCGCCCCAGGTGCCAGGCGCGCCCTGGTGGCTTGTGGGGCCCTCGTGGCTCCGCCGACCCTAATTCCTGGACTATAAATTCCTATTTCCGGAGAAAAAATAAGAGAGAAAGTTTCACTGTGTTTCACGAGACACAGCCGCCGCCACCTCCTGTTCTTCATCGGGAGGCCTGATCTAGAGTCCGTTCGGGGCTCCGGAGAGGGGGATTCGTCGCCGTCGTCATCATCAACCCTTCTTCATCGCCAATCTCATGATGCTCACCACCGGGCGTGAGTAAATTCCTTCGTAGGCTTGCTGGACGATGATGGGTTGGATGATATCTATCATGTAATCAAGTTAGTTTTGTTAGGATTTGATCCCTAGTATCCACTATGTTCTGAGATTGATGTTGCTATGACTTTGCTATGCTTAATGCTTGTCACTAGGGCCCGGGTGCCATGATTTCAGATCTGAACCGTTTATGTTTTCATGATTATATCTATGTTCTTGATCTGATCTTGCAAGTTATATTCACCTATTACGTGTTATGATCCGCATACCCCAAAGTGACAATAATCGGGATTCTTTCCGGTGATTACCGTAGTTTGAGGAGTTCATGTATTCACTATGTGTTAATGCTTTGTTCCGGTTCTCTATTAAAAGGAGGCCTTAATATCCCTTAGTTTCCGTATGGACCCGCTGCCACGGGAGGGTAGGGTAAAAGATGTCATGCAAATTCTTATCGCAAGCATGTATGACTATATACGAAATACATGCCTACGTTACATCGATGAACTGGAGCTAGTTTTGTGTCGCCCTAGGTTATAACTGTTACATGATAAATGTCATCCATCATATGTCACCGATCCAATGCCTACGAGTTTTTCCTATATTGATCTGTGCTAAGTTACTACTGTTGCTGCTGCCGTTACAACTGCTACAAAATCACTGTTGTCATTGTTACTACTGATGCTATTGTTTGCTACTGCTATCAGACCATCATATTACCGTGCCACTGATCACTCTGATGCAGATATTAAGTTTCCAGGTGTGGTTGAATTGACAACTCAACTGCTAATACTCACAAATATTCTTTGGCCCCCCATGTGTCGAATCAATAAATTAGGGTTGAATACTCTACCCTCGAAAACTGTTGCGATCCCCTATACTTGTGGGTTATCAATAAGCCACAGTAGGTATGTCTCCAGGCTTCGAGTGATCTGTGTCGCAATCAAGGGGACTTATGGATACCCCGGGAACTTCTAGATCTGTAGTCAGTAAGTAAATAGAGACAGTTAGTAAATAGAGAAGGCATATGTAGAACCAGATGCATGACAAATAAAAATATGAGGCTGGTGAACTAACCTAGAAATGGAGCAACCAGTCAAACTTAGGTCCGTAAGGCTCCGAGACTAAGGCCGGAGCATCAGGGTAAACATCTCGGAAACGTTGTGCAATTTCCTGCTCCCAAGCAGTCGGTGCCTCCAACGGTCCTATGGCATGACCCGCCAAGGAGAGTCCCAACAAAAGTGACACGTCCTCTAGAGTAGTTGCCATCTCTCCTCAACGGAAGTGAAACATGTGGGTCTCGGGCCTCCATCGGTCCACTAAGCACGTGAGCAAAGATGCGTCAATGGCGAGGCGTGTAGAGATATCTGTGGCCGCAACCAGACGCGCGAGGCGTGCAGCATGACAAACTAAAAATATTCACACACCTAAATATTTGACATCTGAATATATTACGGAATATTACCGGACCAACTAAAAATATTCACAGACCAAAATATTGGACATCTGGCTCAACAGCCTTCCAGAGAACTCCGTTGGCAGCTGGGAAGACCTGGAAGACGCCTTTCGCGATAACTTCCAAGGTACATATGTCCGGCTACCAGATACCGATGACTTAAGTCACATCATCCAGCAGCCCGGAGAGTCAGCCAGGAAGCTCTGGACTAGATTCCTAATTAAGAAGAACCAAATTGTCGATTGTCCGGACGCCGAAGCTCTCGCGGCCTTCAAACACAATGTCCGGGATGAGTGGCTCACCCGCCGCCTTGGTCAAGAAAAACCAAAGTCCATGACAGCCCTTACCGCTCTAATGACCCGCTTTTTCGCAGGAGAAGACAACTGACTCGCTCGTAGAAGCAACATCACCAGTGATCCAGGCGTGGTGGTGGCGTGCACGACATGGAGATGCAACAATATGCAGGTATCTGGTCATTGGCTCCACAAACACGATACACATTTAATAAGGATTACATACGAGAACCAAGAATTGTGTTTTCGTACAATTAAGTAACATAAGAACTAGTGTTGAATCTTGAAAGCCCTATTGCAATTTCCATCATTTCCATTACTCTTTTGTTCCAAGTTACTATATATTTTGGCACACTTTAATTCTTGTTCACACACTCTTGCAATACTTCGACTTCCGCATTGCTTTTGCTTGGTATCTAAAAAAATGTACGCACATTCCGACAAAACCTCTACAAGAGGCAAAATATCATTTCCTCATCTCACCATGGGATCGATACTCTTACTTTAAAATAGATAAACCCATGCACTTGCAAGACACTACGGGTGCATCCAACTTGCTTGATCATGAAGGCCGAAAGCATTTTAGGAAGCCCATCACTGCAATATATAAGCCAAATTTTATAATGTAAAGTCCCCCTAGTATATAAAACATGAAGATCATGATTTTTTTTTATTATAATGCAATAATGGTACAATGGAGCACTTTAGAACTTTTACTAAGAATTGGTACTACTTTGAAGCACTTAGTGCATACTAAAACGGATCATGGTGTTGCTCCCTCTCATCCTTTTTTTGGACACCTTCATGGTGTTTTTTGTGTTTGATCTCTCTTCTTTCCTATTACTTTTTTGGTAAGAGCAACACCGTACATGAATGATCAACACACTTTTGAATGTACTCATAACTCAATGAATCAAATGATAAAAAAAACTATATGAAAATGGAGAAAAATGGATATGTCATATATAAATATCATGCTAGCTATATATATGATCACGCAAAGCGTATGAGAATATGGACCACATCTCTGTGACGCCGGATTTTTAACCAGGGTAAATAATTTCATGTTTTTCATGTCTGACTTGTCAATTGCTGATTCACTATAATTGCCATGGAAAATGTTTGATTTTTCATGGTCAAAAAAAATCTGACGTTTGATTTGTCATTGCGTCATTCGTTTTGTTGAGGCACGGACAGAAAATCTTCTTTCCATGATGCATACGCTGCGCTACCTTTGTAAGTGCATTTTCTTTCCATGTATAGCTGATCACCTCGTCCTCTTTCTTTTCAGAATAGTTTAGACTCTTATTATATTTTCTGTACCTCGAACTTCTGTTTCTGGGATTTTTCTGTGAATGATTGAAAGCAGCGCCCACATGTTGTGTTTTATCAAATAAAACTGTTACAGTGATTGGCAATTTTAGGGACCGTCCATTCACTACGATCAAACGGTGCAGAAATAAAAGTTACGAGACTAAAATTACATGAAATTACAAATAATAATGGGACCATTACAAAATTATGGTGGGGCTAGTCATTTTCTAAAAGGGTAGATCCGTCCAATGTCAGTCAATGCTGATCGACTGTTCCCCTATCTGTCCGAAGCATTAGGGTAGGATAGGAGTTGCCGATGACCCCGACGGTGGCGGCGGCAGAGGCGGTCGGCGAGGATGGCCGCTGGGGCGAGGAGGTGGAGCCGATGACCCCGGCGGTGGCGGCGGCGGAGGGGTCCCAGGGGGCTCGAGGACCGACGTCTGATGCGGTCGTGGTTCCTCGCCGTCAAGAACTAGATCGAGCGCACGTCGGCGGTAGCCGTCCAGAGGAAGAGGAGGAGCACCCTGCGCCGGTTCGGCGGCCGTGGAACGGAGGAGAGGGAGAGAAAGGCCACCGGTGGCCCCATGAAGGCTGAGGAGGTCGCGCGATGGTGGACCGATGGGCGTCCAAGAGGCAGTTGACCGCCGAGGCATCCCTGGTTCTCATACAGCGCCGGTTCGGCGGCCGCTCCGGCAAGGCCGTCCCAGCGGCAGGTTGAAGAAACGATGGCTCCCCGCCTGGAATACTCCCCTCCAGCAACCTCCCCGGCTACCTCCCGCAGCGCTCCGGCCATGTTCCTCCCCGTCGCAGCGCCCAATCCTCTTCCTCATTGCTGCAGCGTCCATCGCCCAAATGTCGCCCCTAGTCGTCCATCAGGCGAGCGCATCCCTCCTTGCGATTTCCCAGCCTGGTTTGAATCGTGGAGTTCTTGACCCTTTTTCTCTCTGCATCAGGTGTAGGAGATTCAGATTTTGTATCCTCTGAATCATGCGTGGAACACAAGGTCCTTTGATTATTGCTTCTCACTACAGATCATAGTTGGTTTCAGCAGCCTTTGGCGTAATGTTGCCAGGTAGGAAGAGATGATCCAGAGTTACTGAAGCAAGAAGAGATCTAGCAGAAATAGTGATTTAACTTGCAATCACTCACGAAGTTTTATTTTACTACTGCTTTTGTTTCAGGTATCTGAGTCCATTGTCAGCTGCTCCTTTGACAGGGTAGTTGGCTTTGGACTTTATGAACGGGGTTTTCCATCGATATGATTTGAGCATTTTGTCTGCACTGGATATTTGTGTACGCATACATACTCCTTATGCTTGAACTACAAATACGCAGGTAAGTGTGTTGAGATTGGTCTGCCTGAACTAATTCTCTTGGTTAGCTTGTTTTTTGCTTAGTGTACCCGAGGTTCATCTCGGGATTCCTGATCCGCATGTCGATCTCGCATATACACTTGTTGCGTATGTGTTGCATTGCATCAATTAATTGGCTAAATGCTATTGTGAATATAATTAATTCTTCCTCGCCTAAATTTTTTGTTTTCTTAAGCTTACTAATACATGATAGTGTTGTGAAGTACTCCCTCCGTAATATTTTTTATTTTTTGTCTATTCCATGAAGAGTGCCTACTGAGGTTACAGAACTGGATAGAAGTTCATTATGATAGTTCATACAGAGAGTTCATTATGAGAGTTCATACAGAGAGCATCAGGTACTTGTTTTTGCTTAATATTACTACCGAACTGTTCACACGGAGTGTAGTTTAGAAATTTGATATCCCATATTTGTTCTGTTGTGAAGATGGTGTTTGCTATTTCTTGGTACAAAAAAATTTCCTCAACTAATCTTTCAGTACAAGGAGAGTAGGTGACACACTGACACTTCAGAATATTGACATCGTTACTGAAGTTTGGTAGTGCTGTTTTCATGTTTTTTTTAGAGTCAATTACACTAGTGGTGCTACAACTTGGCATAAACGATCACTTTGGTGCTAGAAGTTGCGGGGTACATTGAAGTGGTGCAAAAACTTGACATTGGCATGCAAATACAATGCTTATCTCGTTTGTATACGTAGTCATTGTTGACTAGGCATATGGGGCCTGCTGTCAGCCACTAGACCAGAGAGAAGGGGCTTATGGCCTGATTTTTTTGAAAAACACCCTCGAGATAAAAATTTCACAAAAGAGCCCCTGTTGACATTGTAGAGGTGGCCTTTTTCTCACCGACCAGTGGGTCCCGCCTGTCATCAGAGATTGAAAATTAAACTAAATTAAAACTAAGGATGGCAGGTATCGAACCCTAGAACAAATCTGTTAAACCAATACAGCTAACCAACACACCTTTACGTTGGCTTGTTTAGCACGGGTAACAAGCTTGTATATATATTAACTTTTTTTTTGAGGGGGTATATATATTAACTTGGCTGCATGCGGAGCTTATATGGGCCGCAGATAGTTCGGCCCATTATGCACCTGTTCTTTTTTTAAAAATATTTGTAAAATGTAATTAATAAAAATTATATGTATGATACACAGACGTGGGAGAGGTAGCATTTAAATATACATCCGTGTATGATATAAAAAGTATTTAGTTAATACAGACATTTAATAAAAATTAAAATGTTTAATGAATACATAATATTACACAATCGAGTCTTATATTTAAAATATACAATTTTTTAATATAATTATTGAAAAATGTTGAATAACTAAAATAATATTTTGAAATTGTAATTTATCTTTTTATTATAAATTATGCAAACATTTATATAATTAGTAAATTATTATTATGAGTATTTTAACTTAATAGGTGAACAATGTTTTAAAATAATTTATTATTTTTATTACTGAGATTATAATTTGGAATTTTAAGGCAAATATAATTTAGATACTTTCTACAGTTATTTTTAACTAATAGGTGCCAACTGGGCCGGAAGATCTGCAGCCCATTTAACCTCCTCCAGCACCGAGGTCAAATACATAAAATGTTGTTATCCGGTTTGTGCCGATAGAACATTATGTTTGGAGTGGTTTGCCGGCTCCAGTTCCTGGTTGAGGTGTTGTGTTCGAGACTTGGCGCTGCAATTGTCTTTTAGTTTTCGCCTCTTAGGTTACAGGCGGACCCACTTCTCATATTGAGTTTACAAAATTTCCACGTCAATTGGTATTTTTTTAAAGAAAATAATATTTCAAGGATGTTTTTGAAAAAATCAGCCCACACGTCCCTTTTCTCTGGTCAAGTGTTCTCCCAGTATTTGAAAAAAGAACTTCAGCCTCTCTCTGAACTAGGAACCGATGGATAGTTATCAACAAAAATATGGACTATAGTACAGATTAAAGAATTGATGGAAGAACCAGTTGCTGGTTCCAGCTCATGACAAATCATATATATCAAGTTTCCTCGTTTAGCTACAGAATACTGATAGGGAAATGCATATGTACAGTAACTTTTTTTAGACAAAATATAGTAACTACAAAGTAGACGAGTCTTTTCCTTGCCAACCCATCTCTCTCCATTGTTCAGATATTATTCCCAGAAGCTCAGTTCCAGGAAAGGAAGCACACCATAGGGCCTTCAGTTCGTCCTGATAGAGTAAAAAATAAGATGACACCTAATTAATTAGATCCAATTTATGAAGTGACATCTTGTATCAAAGCTTGCAAAAAATAGCACATCAACTTGATTAAGAAAAAGAGTCAATTACATTGTTGGTGCTACAACTTGGCATAAACGGTCACTTTGGTGCTAGAAGTTGTGGCGTACATCGAAGTGGTGCAAAAACTTGGCATTGACGTGCAAATACGGTGTTTATCTCGTTTATATACGGAGTCGGTGCTGACCAGACGCATGGGGCCAGCTGTCAGCGACTAGACCAGAGAAAAGGGACGTGTGGGCTGATTTTTTCAAAAACACCCTCGAAATATTATTTTCTTTTAAAAAATACCAATTGACATGGAAATTTTGTAACCTCAATATGAGAAGTGGGTCCGCCTGTAACGTAAGAGGCGAAAACTAAAAGACAATTGCACGTCAATGCCAAGTTTTTGCACCACTTCGATGTACGCCACAACTTCTAGCACCAAAGTGACCGTTTATGCCAAGTTGTAGCACCAATAGTGTAATTGACTCTTTTTTTTAATCAAGTTGGTGTGCTATTTTTTGCAAGCTTTGATACAAGATGCCACTTCATAAATTGGATCTAATTAATTAGGTATCATCTTATTTTTTGCCCTATGGTGTGCTTCCTTTCCTAGAACTGAGCTTCTGGTTATAATATCTGAATAATGGAGAGAGATGGATTGGCAAGGAAAAGACTCGTCTACTTTGCAGTTACTATATTTTGTCTAAAAAAAGTTATTGTACATATGCATTTCCCTATCAGTATTTTGTAGCTAAACGAGGAAACTTGATATATATATATATATATATATATATATATATATATATATATATATATATATATATATATATATATATATATATGTGATTTGTCATGAGCTGGAACCAGCAACTGGTTCTTCCATCAATTCTTTAATCTGTACTGTAGTCCATATTTTTGTTGATAACTATCCATCGGTTCCTAGTTGAGAGAGAGGCTGAAGTTCTTTTTTCAAATATTTGGAGAACACTTGTGATGCAGTGGCAACTTGTGGGGCGTAAATAATGTATGAAATCACCTAAAATAGGTACAACAACTCAAAGTGGTATTATCGACACTTATGGGCCCGAACGACTAAGACTATTGAGACTGATACTTGTGAGCCCGAACTAGTAATATTCGTACTTGTGAGCCCGAATGCCTCAAAGCGGTACTTGCAACCCTGGACGATGTAGAGCTGTACTTGTGAGTCCGGACGACTAAGGGCAGTACTTTGACCTCGGATAACTACGACCGGTACTTGTGAGCTTGGCGACTCAGAGTGACTAGTAGTGGTATTGGTTTCCCGGATGCCGTAGAGGGGCACGGTATGGTATTGATGTCCCGGATGCCGTAGAGGGGCACGAGATGGTATTGGTGTCCGGATGCCGTAGAGGGGCACGGGATGGTATTGGTGGCCCGGACGAGCCATAATGGTACTTGTAGGCACACAACTAGAACTATGGGTCGTTTCAGGGCATTTTCAGCCGTTGGCCCCCCAGGAGGGGCAAAAAATCGCCCCCGGGGCGCACCGGCGCTAAACCGCGCACTGGGGGCGTGATGCCCCCCAGTCGCGCCCCCCCACGGGTTTTTAAAATGTTCAAATTCGGCGCAAACACAACGCAAACACGGGCGAGTTCGTTCAAATTTAAACATATTTTTACAAAAAAAGAGGAAAAAAACTACCGCGGGCTACCCCCGCCGTCTCCCCGCCGTCCGCCTCGCCGCCCGCCCACGCGGTTCTACATCCCGAGGAGGCTGTAGAACCGTGTGTAGTCACCGCCGTCGTCGTCGTCGCCCCCGCCTACGCCTCCGCCGGCCCTGCTGCATCCCTCCGCCGGTTGGCGCGGTGGGTTGGACGGTCCAGGGGCGTCGTCGTCGTCGCTATCGAGGACGACGACGCCGTCCTCGTCCTCGCGCCCACGTTTGCGGGCGGCGATCTCCTCCAGGGCCCGACG